TTCAAGTTGGCGATCCAACGACCAACCCGGCCGTGGAGGATCAGGAATCAGAAAGGTGGAATAACTCTGTGACGAAATATTAAGGCCAGGCTAGAGATGTTTCTTCTATTTCGAGAATAAAGTCATCATAGAACAAGCCGTTCATTAAGAAAGCTTCCAGCTCCACCAATCAGCAACCAGAGTCCACTTTGACATCCTTCCCAGTTTGATGCCCCTGCTAAAACATTTCCTGATTTGTCAAACTGATGCTAAAGTAGAACTTCACATGATGCTCCACATTCCTCACTTTAGGGAACAAAAGGCTTCTTTTAAGAGTTGTTATAAAATATAACTTGTTTCTCGTAATTATAGGACTTAATTCTCTTAATTTTACAAATTAATTCTCATAAAGTTACGAATTTATTCCTGCAATGTCACGACTTAATTCTCGTAATTTTACGACTTTATTCTTGTAATGTTATGGAAATAATGTTCAAATAGAAAAGAAGAAAAAAAAATCTCTAGCCTGGCCCTAATACTTTGTTGTATAAAACATCTAACTGCCAACTATATCTAGCATTTTTTACTGATTAACTCTAAATGTATCAAATCACGGCGAACGTATTAGTTTTAGGTATAATGATCCATTGATCGTTCCCTGCTGACCGGACTTCTCCTTTAATAATAATAATACATTTTATTTAAAAAGGGCGCCTTTCTGGACACTCAAGGTCACCGTACAAAAACATAAAAAGTGTCAGAAAAAATAATAATTATAAAGACATTAAAAAACATTTAAAAAATACAAAACCAAGCATCCATCCACCTCTAAGACGATTTAAATTAAACAAACTTTGCCCGGAAAATTGAGCTTTTTATTTCAGAGAAGAGAGGCAGGCTTCACAATCAGCTAGAGATTGGCTGTCATGTCGCAGTAAACTTAACCCTTTCGGGGGGGGGGGGTCCATCAGATCAGTGCCTGTCCTTCCCTGGGAGGTGAACCTTTAGCAGACGGCAGCAGAAATGTCCGCTCAAAGCGACTGCTGTTTGAAGTTTTTCCTTCCACTTAACCTTCTGACCAATCAGCTTCTTTAACAGTAACCTTTCTTCACCCCCCCCAATGGTTAAATAAGCTATGAGTTCGCAGAGTAGGGGCCAGGACCCCCATGGGGGGTCTCAGGAGGGTTTCTACAGCTGTGTGATCTCTGAGGGCCACAAACACATCATGAACTTAGTAACAATGATTTATCTAAAACATGATTTAAGTATTAAATCAAATCTTTATATTTATCCACAAAATGAAATGTCCAACTGAGTCAATAAATAATCATCATCATTATTGATTATCATTTAAAGAATAAGTCTCTTAAATTATGAAGTCAAATAAGAAAAGAGAAGAAAGGAGGGGGGAAAAAAGGACCAGTGCACCGTTTCACAGGGACCTATAAGAGGGACGGACAATGGAGGAAGGAGCAGAAGGACAAAAGTTTGGGACTCAGAGGTCCAGTTGGCTCTGGATGAACCTGTAGACGGGCGGAGAGGCAGCCGGTTTTTACCTGCTTCTGGACTAATTGTAAATATATCCTGACGATCACTAAATAAATGGATAAAAGGAAAAAATCTGTGTTGTCCTTTGAGATAAACCCTGTGGAACTAAGTCTGCATCTATTTATCCATTTTCAAATGGGGAAGCTTCATAAGATAGAAGAGAACTAGAATAAATGATTGAGTTACATGAAGTGGTTCCAGGTAGTTTTAGAGGCTGCTCTGTTTTCTGGGTCAAAGGATGAGATGTTTGGGAAGCTCTGATCCAGCCTTCAGTCCAGCAGATAGAAAATACTTAGCATTCTTTATTTTTTGAATATTGGACTTTCAATCTCTGGGGAAAAAAATAAAAAATTTTAGATAAAGACCTGAAATGTTGATATAACTGAGAAACATTGAACCCGTTTTTCTAAACCTTCCTGTTCTTATTCAGCCTTTTCAACCTGAAGATCAAACTCTGTTTCATTCTGGTTTTTATTGTTGCAGAGTCGATTCCATGGTAAAACTTACTGGTTGTACTGGTTTCCTAAAGCCTGACTGGAGCCGTTAAGTTATGCAGAACCTGGATGGCGCTGTCCGTGGTGCTGAAATCAGTACCAGCAGTGGAGTCAGACTCGCTGCGACTGTTTTCAAAGCTTTATTTAAAAAAGACAGATGGTTCAGCTCTTTACACCAAGTTACCTGCCTGGCACTTACAAAGTTTAAAATAAAAAAACATCAAATAAACACTTTAAATAACAACAAAGGAACCTTTTCTATCTAAAGTTCAAGTTGCAGAGGATGAAGGTGCTTCAAACATTTACAGGTTTATGTTCCCGATGATCCACACTGATGGTCTGTGGTTTTATTTCAGCACGATGATTTTTTCTCTGGTTCCTCTCAGGAAATGTTCAGTGATTTGGTTTTTTTTTTGGTTATAAAAATGTGCTGCATGACCCAGCAGAACCAGAGCAGAACCACAGCAGAACCGGAGCAGAACCGGAACAGAACCGGAGCAGAACCGGAACAGAACCGGAGCAGAACCGGAACAGAACCGGAGCAGAACCGGGCTGGGAGGAGTTTATTCAGGACTAAATGTTCAGGTGAGCCTAAAAGAAGCAGAAAGTCTGATTGGCTCCAGCGGCGGAGAACCGGTCGGATCGAAGCGGACCCCGGTTCTCTGGCGCCGTGTGACCCGGTGCCTGAAGCAGACCGCCGCCCGCCCGCCGTCTCTGGTCTCCAGCAGAGGCGGTTCAGAGGAGGAGCACCTGAGATTTGATCAGCAGCTGAACTCCGGCTCAGACGACCTCGGCCGGCTTCCCCGGACCAACCAGGTCCACCTCCAGGAAGTCCAGCGGGCCGCTGTCCTGGGACATCTTCTCCTCTTCTTCTGGGTTCTTGCTTTCACTCGTTCTTTGGCAGGTGCGGGCTTTGGCCACGCCCACCAGAGCCAGGCACACGGCGCTGAGGCCCATCCCTGCTGCGCACGAGTAGAAGGCGGCGCCGTAGTTCTGGGTGACATCGACCAGGACACCTGGAGGCAAAGACGGGTCAGAGGTTAGAAACGCTAACGGCGGGACGGAGACGGCTGACGGAGCGGAGCAGAGCGTACCTCCCAGCGGCGGCCCGGCCAGCCCGGCGAAGCTCTGGATGAAGACGTAGACGCCCACACAGGAAGGCATCTTCTGGATGCCGACCACTTCCTCCTCGGCCAGCAGGGGGATGTGCGTGGAGCCCACCGTGCCCATGAAGAAGCCGTAGAGGGCGCAGCAGACCGCCAGGCCCCAGAACTCCCAGACCACCGTGAAGACCACCAGAACCAGGCACATCAGAACCACGCAGCCCAGCAGGACGTGCGTCTTCTTGCAGCGGACCTTGTTCAGCACGACCCCGATGGAGAGGCGTCCCACGATGTCGGCCACGGCCATGATGGACAGCATGTAGGACGCCATGGCGGGCTCCACGCCGCGGCTCTTGCTCAGCTCGATGATGTAGAGCTGCGGAGCGAAGAAGCCCAGCGTGGCGAAGAGGCCGAACAGAGAGTAGCAGATGAAGGCGCCGTCTTTGAGCATGGAGAAGTCCAGGAGTTTGGGGGCGGGGCTAGGAGAGGCCCCTCCCTCCGACAGCTCTGCATTCAGATCCTGCTGGACAGGGCTGGGAGGTGGGCTGGGGGGGCCGGAGCCAGACTCCTCGCTGTCCTTCGGGCTCCACTCCATCAGAGCCTTGGCCTCCGGAGCGTTTCTCAAGTCTTCGTCTGACGACGACAGGAAGGTGACGCCGGAGTCCCCGGAGCCCTGGGAGATGGCGGAGCTGAGGGACGTCCGGGTTTGTTCGTTCTCCAGCTCAAAGACGCTCTGCTTCAGGGACAGCGAGGCCGAGTCGCCGTCCTCCTTCTCAGGCTCCGCCTCGATGCTGATCGGACGCAGCAGGGCGCCAAAGGCGATGACGGACGCCTGCATGACGCCGAGGACGACCAGACAGTAGCGCCAGCCGATGTCCTCCTTCAGGCTGGTGAAGGCTGCAGAGACACGATCGCATCACATCTACGTCCTGACCTTCAGGCTAAAGCTAACATCCAGGAGCTACGCCTCAGACTCACCGGGCGCAAAAGCAAAGATGGCGAAGGATTCCCCAGAGGAGGCGATGGACGTGACGAGGGCCCGGCGCCTGGAGAAGTACTGGGCGAGGATGGTGACGGTGGGGATGAAGGACAGACAGAAGCCCAACCCTAAAGAGAGGAGAAAAGAGACGGGACATGACAGCCACTGGCCCGCATGGTAGGAACCCTGCATGGCTAGGGGGGGTGGGGTCAGAGAGTCAGGCGGTCAGCGCGGCGTCCGGCGGCTGCTGGAAGACAAAACCAATGTAAAGACAGAAAAGAGAGGGGGGGCGGGGAGGTTAGCGCCGATCCACTGGACTCATGAATTCATGGGGAGAGCTAGCAGTGCCGCTGTTCAGGGAGAACTCAGTCCAGTCACTGCGTTCCCCCGTAGGCTCCGCCCACAAAGCTGAGGCGGCGGGACGGATCGCTCTCTCAGAAAGTTCTGGATTGTAGCACAAGTTTGACGGACACTGCTAGGAGTCCCTTTACTTTAAACACGACACACGGCTCTGCAGGGGGAGGAGCCAGCCGGGCGCCAGGTGGGTGGGGTCAGGTACCTGAGACGATGCCGGTAGTGATGTACATCTCGCTGATGCTGCGGGTGAAGGCGGAGGAGATCATCCCCAGGCTCATCAGGAAGCCGCCCATCATCACCACGGGGCGACAGCCGAAGCGGTTGCTAAGCAACGAGGCCAGGGGTGCTGTGGGGGAGGAGGGGGGGTCATTATCGCTCTGATAACTGATAGAAAGTGAAGAACCAGAACCTGGACCCGGCGGGAACCGACCTGAGAAGGCGAAGATGAAGACGGAGATGGAGATGACCCAGGACACTCTGCTGGTGCTCTCCTGGAACTCCTCCATCAGGTCCTGGAGGAACACCCCCAGCGTCTTCAGCACGCCGTAGGTGCTGACCTCCACCATGAAGAAGACCGCGGCCACCGCCCAGCCCCAGCCGCCTTCCGGCACCGCCGGGTACACGTTTGGACCCAAACAGTCCGGGGTTCTGACGCTCTTCATGGCTACAGGCGTCCTGCTGGGAGAAGCAAACATCACATGACCTTCAGAGACGTTTCGACGGTGGATCCCAAGCGGGTTCCTGGACCCGGACTTTCCGTTTCCTCCTGAGGGAGACGGCAGCTTTCACTGCGACCCGCTGGGCTCCAGCAGCTCCAGGCAGAACCACAGCAGGAGGTTCTGCTGGACTACAGGTCCGTTTACTGCAGACGCTTTAGGAGCAGCAGAGGGGCGATCACATTAATCCATCATTTAAATAATCAACTAATTTAGTAACGGGTTAATCTTTAACTCACTTAGAGCAGGAATTATACCCAGATTGTAAAAATATAGAAACATTTTGCATTTATGATTTAAAAAACTGCTAAATAATCATTAGCTGCAGCAGCTGTGAACCACAAAGCAGAACTGATTGGTTGCTGGAAGCCAAACTGGACTGAACCGGATCGGCCTGTCAGGGATCAACACTTGGTGGCGCTGTTGCAACAAGCCTCAGCCTGTTTTAACCCTTTATAAGGCAAAAATGAATGTTAAAGTAATAAGAAGAAACGCCAACTTGCTGAAATATATATAAAAAATTCATGAAAAACACTCATGAGAGTGAAAGAGACACTTTTTTTGTTGGTCCAACATAACCTTAGAGGCATTAATGCAGATACTGGCACTTACATGTTTTAGTTTATAAACTTAAATATAATTGTTAACTAGGTTTATTAACTTTTCAATTAGCTTTTTACCTTTTTTTTCTTAACTTTTTTTCAGCTGCTCTTTTCTTTCAGACGGGATGGATTCAAATTTAACATTAAAGACCTGAAACAAAGAGTTTCAGATAGAAATGCGTAAATAGATTCAACAGACGCCTAATAACTCCTAATTAAACAGTGAGTCCAGCTTTTAATCCTAAGATCAGAGATCAGTCACTCATTTCAAAATCTCATTGTTTTTATTCAATTACACAATTAAAGTATTAAATATTAGTTTATTTTTTTCCCTTCAGACTTTTTCACTCGTTTGATAAATAAAATATTTGCTATTTTAGTCTTTATCTGCTTTTAGATTTTGTAAAAAAAAAAAAAAACTTTCAGAAACATTTTATTTATAATCGCAGGATGCGGCTGCGAAGCGCGCGCTTCCTGGTTGTTTGTTGTAAACGCGCGCGCACAGCAAAGCGCCGCTTCCTGGTTTTTCTACTCAAGCTTTTTTTTGGGGGGGGGGGGTCAGCCTGTCCGCCCTGCAGGGGGGTGATGATGATGATGATGCTAAAGCTACTTAGCTCAGCTCTTCATCCACATTATGTCACCAAGTTTAAACTTTCAAAAGAAAATAAACTGACTCCATTAAAACGTTAAATCTTCAGATAATAAATCTAAGGTTTAGTCAAATAAAGTTAGATTTAAAGGAGCCGCGTCCAGACTCACCGGCGGATGCTTTCTGCTTCCTGCTTCTTTTAATCGTTTCTCATGTCAGGATTCTGGTTTCCCGCTTTTTAGAGACGAGCAGCTAAAAAACGTTTTCTCTAACGTTTATTTAGTGACGGAGAGGCTGAACCTGTGTCCCGGTGCGGCGGCGCGGCTCCCCGGCAGCAGCAGCACCGGCAGCATCCTCTCCTCTCCTCCTGCCGGCTCCGGCAGCTCTTTTCCGGCTCAAGCCGGTATTTCAAACGCGGGCGCGCGGTTTCCCGGCGTCATGAACGCGCAGCTCTTCGCCCGCTTTGTCTCATCTCGCTCACGCGCGCAAACCTTTCTGAAGTGGCGCGCGCCGCCGCCACTTCAGAAATAATAATAAAATAAAACAGAGAAAACCTATAGAACATAGAGCTTCAGCTAATAGATTTGACATCAAACTAGAAAGCTGGCGGGGGGCGCGCGCGACAGGCGCGTTGCGCATAGCGGCGGAGCGCGCGGCGGCAGGAACAGGTTTCCTCCGGTTTGAAACAGCTTCCTTCCCCTCCTGCTCCTGATAGTTAGGATTTAATATAAAAAAATAATATATAATAAAAACTATTCAACCAGGGAGTAAAGTTTAAAATAATTAAAAATGTTTGATTTGTTCTAATCGACCTGAAAAACAGGAAATACCTGGATTTTACTGCTTCACACTAATGATTTAAAAAAGACTATAAAATAAATGAAAGATTTCCTCTGGCCTTCACCAGGAGGAGGTTTCTGAGGCAAACAGTGAATCATCTTCCTGCTGCAGCTCAGAGCAGGCCACTCTCAGGCTCCTCTAAAATATTAAACATGTTCTTACATAAAGGATTTATAAATGCTGCACCTTTTATTTAAATAAAATAAAAGGTGCAGCATCTATAAACGATTATCTTCTCCAAGTGTTTATAGATGTCTGAGTGCAGCCTCCCATCTGATCCATCTAATACATTCTGCTGCCTCACCTTACTCTCAGCCCTGTTGGACCCTCAGACCTGTGATGGCCCCTCAGACCCGCGATGGCCCCTCAGATCTGCGATGGCCCCTCAGATCTGCGATGGCCCCTCAGCCCTCTGTGGCTGATCCTGGCAGGTTCCTGTCCTCATATAGCCTCTGAATCAGAGCAGGGGTGTGTCTAAGAGCAGGCTGGGCCGGATCCTGACCCAAATTCTGCAAAGGCCACACCACCACTGCTGTAGCCCCTTAGCTTAGGAATGTTGGCCTGTAGATGCTGCAAACAGAACTTAATTCCTAGACTTTAGAATATTTTCCAGGTTTTATGCAGTGATACAATCAGATCTCTTTTAAATGTTTGATAGATGGACAGACGCAGCTACTAAGGCGTCTCTTTTATCTTTCGAAGGATGTTTCCTTGTTAGACGGCGTAACTAAAATGCACATGGCACACGTCCGAAGTCCAAGGAGGCGATGGTGTTTGATTAAAGGTCTTATGTAAGCGGGTAGTCAATCTGTCAGTGAGCTCATAGCGGCTCCTGAAGGATGCAAACTGAGGCCTTTTCCTGTTAATCTCAGTTTTCTTGTCTTAAAGTCAACATTTGCACCTTATTTAGCTCCAGTCTCCCTGACGGATGTTTGGTTTGGGGATGAGCCGGTCAGGGCAGGTTTCTCCTTCTGCCCAGCTGGGTCTGGAAGTCCGGCCCAAACCAAACAGCGTCCTGCTCAGAGGTGACTTTCAGGGGGGCCCCCCCCATGAGGCGACCCTGTCCAAACAAAGAGGAAAACAGTCAGGTTTCTCTCTCCTCTCCTGCTGATTAATCGAGGAGGTTTTCTCTTTGCTTTGTTTAGTTTTTATCCCAGCAGCTCACTGGTTTGAGGCAACATCAGATCCCAGATCTGGGCCCCGCTGAGGAGCTTCATCCCTGTGGAACACACTGAGCGCAAGCATCACAGGATCTCCCATGACCTTGTAGCTGAAGCCAGGAACACGGACGCCATAAAAGGGCTGGACTTTAGAGTGAGACACAGATGTTGGATAAGAGAAGTCACAGCACAGCAGGTTGGATCTGTTAAATAATCAAAGCGCTCAGTCTGGCCTTGCTGTAACGACAGGAGGGGGGGGGGTCTGCCATCCACTGAGGCCACGCCCTGCACCATGCAGGCGCTGTAAACACAGCAGCCCAGCCTGAGCAGGTCAGAGCCGCTCCGCTGGGGCCCGTTCCTGGACGGTGCTGAGGGTGGGGCGTCACAGTTTTTATGCTCCTAACATGCAGCCAGAGCCAAGAAAACAGATTTGATGCAGCAGCCATTAAAGGTTTGCTCGACACTTTGCCCCACTGAAGATAACAAAGACTGGTCAAAGTTAATTCAGATAGAACACGTCACGAATGCTTCAGCTTCAGCTCTTATTAATCAAAGGTTAAACCTAAATCCATCAAAGCAAACTAATCCTCTACTCCTAACTCCAGTTCTTTCTCATATCTTCAGATCTGCCACTTTATTCCAACGTATAACCCATCGTTTCCTCAATGACACTGAAACCTGGATGTTATACTAAAGATCACCATAACTTCAAAGGG